ATCTTCATCTTTCTCTCAGATTCAATACATAGATTCTCTGCATAATCTCCATGGCCTTTACACTCTGCTTTAATCTTTAATCATCATCATCTGCAACCTTCCCTCTATGTAGTTCATCAACAAACTTTTGTAACTCGTCAATCTCGGAGCTTCTGTAACAACATCATCGCACAACTTCACTACAACGTTGCAACAACAACAAACTCAAGAAGAAGAAATTACAGAAGAACTCACCATCCAAAAACTCTAAAAATATGAAGATCCTCTCTCTGCTCCAGCTTCAGAACCAGTTTCTCACAAGATCATCATCAATCACCATTATCTACTTTGATTGTTATCAACAGTTCTCTTCAATATGCAAGATTTTCGTTGCACGTGCTTCAATTTGCATCGTAACATCACAACAAGAACACAAAGCATCAGCATGCGCTCAAAGTAGTGGCAACCGCAACAGAAAATAGAAATAAGCATAATCGAGAGAAGGTGATTATAGGTCCAAAAGCACACTTGAAATTGTTTCTCCGCATTTCTAGGCATTATCGGTGTTGGACCATCTCCGATCGAAAAAGAAGGAAAGGTTTGTGGTGGGTTTGTGGAGATGAAAAGAAGTTTGAATCGGTGATTAAGAATGGGAGATCAGAAGTAGAAGAATGTTGTGTCAGCGGCAAGATCATTGTTAGATATGAGGGGGAGGCCGCGAGAATGAGACGGTGGTGTGCGTCGCGGACGAAGAGGAGAAGAGGGACTCTAGTTTCAGAATAAACTGAACGGTCTTAATTTAACCCTAGCCACAAATGCTTTTAACCCTAACCCCCACGAAGCGCACCGTTTCTTGTATCCTCTCATATATTATTTGTGTTTATATTTATTAATGTTAAATAAAAACTAAACATTATGCCGAAAAGATACAAATCTGAGGGAATCTGTCAAAGATGCTTGTGGGCTGGAGCCAAAATTCGCATCACTTTAAGCCTAATGTGCACCGTTTTTTGGAGCCAGATTGATGTTACAAAAATGGCTTATTAGGCTATCTCCTATGGGCCTAGCACCCTTGCTACACTACACACCTAATCCAGATTTTAACACCCCTCTGTTTTAGATTTAATTGTTTTTTCTCCTTATTATATTCTTCTCATAACTTTGATGATAAAAGAGATACAAAAATAGTAGAAATTCTTATTGATATTATAAATTCTCTTTAGATGTTTAATTAGAGTTTTCTATTATTTTCATGTTCGATGATCATTTTCATTGTCATTTTTTTAGCTAGGATTTTGTGATATTATATTGATGTAATCTTTTCACAATCGGGAATATTTGGAGATTAATTTTTTATCACTCAGGCGGAGCAATTTCTGTAGAGTTCTCTTATCACTTGCGTGGCTTCGAAGAGGCAACGGACCTTCTCCATTCGGTATCGTCACAACTCTATTTTATTCTTCATTTCCGCACTTTATTGCTTCCTAGAGGTCATATGAAGTATGATAATATTAGGTTTAGAAATAGGCTAGTCTCCGTTTAACTTTTCTTTCCCTTTTTGCATATGCATTTAAAACTAAAACTTCCTTTTTCCTTTTCAAACTTCAAAATACTTTAAATCTACTGATGAGAATCATGCCTTTGCTTAGCATGGGAAATGATAAGCGGGTCTTTTCTCGATCTTATTGTTCTTCATCTCAAGTCTAGGTGTGGTTCAATTCTCAAAGACTCCTTTCATGGATAAGTAGAAAAGTGGCTAAAATCTCTCTCTTGAGGTTAACTAGTCGTTATCTGCAACAAAAATACAAACCAATTCAAACCATTATGTGCGCTCAAGCACCCTTTCTCTAAAACCCTTTTCAGGTAAGGACATGATTAATTTACTTCTGTGCCATTGCATAAGTCTCCAAAGGTTGAGCTGCGACAGAAGGCGGGATTAACTTTGTCCATAAAAAACACAAACAAACAAAAACATATGAGTCGAACTACGGTAGCTCTGATTCCCTAAAAAGGATACGTAGGCATTGGGGTACGGCCCAAGCGAGCATAATTTATTTTCCCTACATTCTTTTCTCCTTTATTTTGCATGCATTCTCCCTTCAGTAGTATAGTGAACAGTAAGCATAGATTAAACACACCCATAAGATAGATAACAAGAGTGGATACCGTAGAGTACTACAGGTGTGTGGGGTGCTAATACCTTTCCCTCGGGTAACAAACTCCCTTACCCAATCTCTCGGTCGCGAGACCGTGACTTCTCCCTTCTCAGGTTTTCTCGATGTTTACCTTTCCCTACATGTGGGATAAAAGACGTTCGATGGCGACTTCATTGTTTGATGATTTTCAGCCGGTTGTTTCACTTGCCACTAGGGTGGCTGTTTCATCCGTTAATAAAACAAAACCAAATAAATATAAAATAAACAAAACAGATGGACCGGAAAAGCGTCGGAGCCCTAGCTCTTGTCGTCTTCTCCGATGAGTACGTTTTCCAAACCTGCAAAACAAAGCGTGTTAGTGATCAAATTGAACCCTACCCCCCCCCCCTCCCCCCAATTTGAGGGTTGTGAACTCATTGGTGACCTTAGCTTTAACTGAATCGTCCTGTATAGAGAGATATGAACAACATAACATAAAATGGTTCAAGCATGGTGATGCACGATTCTGGCATCATGGGACTCATGTGAGAGTTCAGACATGTTCTATTACATCTCAAGAACACATTAGCATGATTAGTTTCAATCAAAACAACATAAAATTTAAAACACGAAATTCATAAAAATATGTCGATTGTCCATGCTTGGAATGCTTGTTTCATGCACTTTTGATCATCAAGAACGATAAAGTCTTACCCTATAACACCTCAGGGATTGATTTGAGTGGTTGGTTTGCTTTGAAAGTGTTTGTACGAGAGGTTTCAAGTTTTCCCTAGTTTGACAAAATTTTAGGTTTTGAGTGGGTGTTCTTGCAAGGTTTTTTTCGTGTCTTTGTTGTCTAAACATGAAGAGTATTTATTTATAAGAGAAAAGATTGGGTCAATACATGGACTTTGACCTCTTGCAAACAACCTTTGATTCTTGTTTGAAAATAGATTTGGAATAGGACATAACATGAAGATTTGTTTTTCAAATAAGCTTCACACAGTTTCTCATGCAATCTTGGGCCTCCAAAATATTTGAGACAAAAGCATTTTAAGCCTTACACCTCCTTTTACTATTTATTTGATTTAATTTGTATTTTAAATGAATAAAATTCAAATAAAAGAAATAAAAACCATAAAAAATATAAGAATGGTTTTGGGGGTCCCCTAATATGTCATGAACATGTTTGAACTTCAAAAATTAGTCCCATTATTCAAAAAGCCCAAAATTGTTCAATTGAGGTTTCATGCAATTTCACAAAATTACCCAACTTGTGCAACTCATAACTTTCTCAAATTTTGTTATATGAAGGGGATATTGGACTTTTTGGAAAGCACAAGATGTCCCCTACAAATCTCGTGTTGATTATTTTTCCATTTGAAGATTGTACCTTGATGTAATTATCTTTGACTAAAAGTGTCTTTTTGTTAACTTTTGAAATGACCTATAATATTTTGACTCATATCTCTCAAATGAAGTATTTTTGGGCCTTGAGCTTAGAGAGACAAAGTTGAAGAGAATTGAATTTCCATCAAAATGATCTTTGGTTGAGAATTTTCTGATGAAGCATGTGAAGGTTATGTTTGGTCAAAGATTAGTTGACTTCTCCTAAAGAAAACCCTAATTTAGCAACTTTTGACTTTTGATTAATCTTTGAGTTTTCTTGATGAATCATAATCAACCTTTGATCAAATGATGAATGTGAGTTGAAGATGTTAATGTTGATTAAAAATTTTGAGGTTTGACTGTAAGTTGACCACAATTGACTTTTTGTCTAATATAGTTGATTTTCAACCATCTGAGAAATTGACTGAGCAAATTTGTGGTGTAAGGCTTAAAACTTGACATGAGGATTCTTTGAAGCATGTGAGGAACCTTGAAACTCACTTGAGGCATTAGAAGTCCTATTTTCTTTGAGAATACCAAAATCCTAATTATAGGCCAACTACTTAGGAGGAGGATTCATCTAATCAATCTTTGAGTAGTCTTGAGCACTTGAGGACCTTAGGAGTATGCGGAGATCTTTTGAAATGGAAGAGAAAATTTTAGAGTACAATAGAATCAAAATGACATTTTCAAATTTTTAAAAGGTGTTTTTTACCACTTAAGATGAGATTAACAAAATAAAATAAAATTGATACCAAATCAATTACCCATGTATTTACATCATACACTAGAATTTTATCAAATGTTTTTTGCACCAATTAATTACATTCTTCTTTCCATTATTAATAAGAATTTAATTGATATTACACTGATGGTGTAAAGAAATTTTACATCATCAATTAATAATAATCGTCAGATTTTTATAATTGTTTGATTTTTATTTTAATTGACTTTAATATTACATACGAGTGGTTATGATACACTCTATATATATAAAAAATTACAATATATACCGATTAACCTCTATGAATAATATCCAAACCACTACATCAATTGACTCATCATAAATTTTTAACTAAAATTCCTCTTAACAAATTAATTTTAAAAACATAATTGAAATTAATTCTCATATAGAGTAGGTAAAAATAACTTTCACTGTAAATGTTTAAACCCAATTTACCTTTAAAATCAAGGCCAAATTAATCACTTCAACAACAAACTATCAAATTAAAATAAAAAAATAAAAAATAAATAAGTAAAAAAAGAAGCTATTTTACGACGTCGTTGCAAAATATCGAATCACAAAGTTCAAAAACTCGTGCGCTTTCCCTCCATTCCGTTAAGTCGTTAATATAAATAGCCGCCAAGAGAGAGAAACCCAAATCACATTGAACTAAACACAATACAAACAGATTTTCATTTTCCCTCTCTTTCAATTCTCACTTTCTTGAGAAACGAATAAACCTAAGTTCTTCAATCTTCACACCTCGCCGGAAAATGGATCCCAAGACCGGGTTCGCCGATATTACTGATAAGGAAAAGCAAGTTATAATAAGCTACTCCGATGTAGAAATGTTCTTCGTGGCCAGTAAATACTTCTACCAAAACACCGAGAACGCTTTTTTCCGAAAGCACGCTGTTGCAATAATCTCCATGGTAATTGATGATTTGAAGCTTTGATTTCTTTGCTGATTTCTTGTTCGAAGATCGATTTCAGATCTGGTTTTTGTTTCATGAGAAATTCGTTTGTTCTGTTATTAGATAGTTCCTTTCTTGCTTTGAATCTTTGTTTAATTTGTTGTGTTTAACTTCAATTTCGAGTTTACAGTTTCGTTTCTTGTTAACTTTATGAATTTCCTTTTTGGATGAAAATTTCACTATATGCTTCTATGCTGATTACCGTTAACGTTTCAAATTTCTTGGATCTGTTTCACTTTGAATGAAAATTTTGTTTATCTTGCAATGTTAAAATGAATGAATGTGTTGTTACTGTTTTCCGAATCTTGTAGTTGTTATGCTGATTTTTTCCTGCATATTTTGCTACACGCAGCTCGCGAAGAGGATTGATAATGATACACTAATTCCGTATCTTGCTATGAATTATTTTGATCGCTTTTTTTCCAAAAACAGTTCGATGTTGGAGGTAACATATATGTTTATTTTCCTTCTTGATATTTTTCAAGTTTCTTTTTCTTTGAGTTATCTCGGTTAAAACTGAAAACTCTTTGGTTTTTGATTATAAGGATGTTGAAGGGTTCATCGATATTATAAAAGTTCGTTTGATTGCTATCGCCTGTCTCACCATAGCTGCCAAGATGAGGATAAAAGACTTCTCAATTGAACAATTTTTGATTACTTATTATAGGATTGTGAATGTGAGGATAAGTCATCATATGGTGATGAGAACGGAGCTTCTCATTCTCCGTGAACTTGACTGGGAAATTCAATCGGTAACTCCCTTCACCTTTCTGAACTTCTACTACCGTTACTTCAAAAAGTACGGTGGTTTTAAGCGTCGTTGCATCAATGAGATAATAGTTCAAGCTCAAGGAGGTAAACACAAACTCACATGTTTTGTTAATTTTTTATTTCTCTATTCTGCTTGGAGAATATATAATTTTCATTGGTTTTTTCCTTCTATTCTGCAGAGCACACCTTCGTTGACTATTATCCTACTGTGATAGCAATCTCCGCTTTTCTGACTGCTTCCCAAATTGCATATCCTGATCAGTATGGAGAAATTATAGTTCCCTTCACACTTACCAAAGTTTTGTCGATGGTATGTTGGTTGAAAAATTAAATGCATAGCATGTCATCTCTTGATTGTATCTATCCATTCTAAAAAAAGAAATCAAGAGCAACACTGTTAGTATAATGTAGGTGTATAAAACACACATTTTTAGAATCAGTAACACAATCAGGCAATTATAGTTTATACACTAAAAACTATTGTAACAAGCTTAGAGTGTCAGACACGTGTCATTATCACACATAGATACGACACTGACATGTGCGGTTACATTCAATTGATTCATTTTCTTTAATTATTACTAATTTCGATGTGTTAGGGTCGTGTCAGTTTGTGTCAGGGCTTCATAGATAATAAGGTTCTTAACTTTGTCTTTGTTTACAGTTGCTTCAGTATAAGGTCGTTCTTTGTGTGGATGCGATGGTTGATCTTTGCAATAAATTGAACATCCAGATTGAGACCCCTGAATCAGGAATTTCTTCCACTTCAGAGTTAAAAGAAAGCCAACAAAACAAGAAATCAGGAATTCCCTCCACTTCAGAGTTACAGGAAATCCAACAAAACAAGGAATCAGGAATTTCCTCCACTTCAGAGTTACAGGAAAGCCAACAAAACAAGGAATCAGGAATTCCCTCCACTTCAGAGTTACAGGAAAGCCAACAAAACAAGGAATCAGGAATTCCCTCCACTTCAGAGTTACAAGAAAGCCAACAAAACAAGGAATCAGGAATTCCCTCCACTTCAGAGTTAAAGGAAATCCAACAAGACAGGGGCAAGACGAAGATGGTAGTTGATTCAAATGAACAAGAAGATGATGACGAAGAAGTGGGGAGTCCGATAATGTGGCGATTTCTGAACATGAAGTGGAAATCTCGGGCGCTGAAGATATCAGAGAGGGTTAAGGAAGAAAACAAAAAACTGGACAAGGGAGAGACATCTGGTGGTGATGATAAGGCCAGGATTGAGGTTATAATCCCACAACCGTTGGAAAAGGGTGAGAAGATGGAGGGATACATTTCAGAAACTGCAGAGCTTGAAGAACTAAAGAGCCTTATGAACTTTGAACTGAAGTGGCCCGAAGAAGTTCCATCCACAGCTGAACTAGAAACACAATTACAAACACAAACAGTTAACCGTTCTAAGTCAAAAGGAAGAATTCTAAGAACTGCCAAGAAACTAGCTCATGGTGACTGCAAAGTCGGTTAGTTATGCTACTGCAAATAGTCTTCATTTGGTTTTGTGGTAAAGGACTTGGCTTTGGATCATGTTTAGTTCAAAAATTTCTGACAGTTTCTTGTGTAGATCAAACTGTGACTATTATTACTGTTGAATTTGACTTTTGGTACTTTTCTAATTGAATTCTCTCAAATAAGTGTTTTAATCTCGCTTAATAATAAAATTAGATTGATTGAGGTTAACACTCTCTCTCTCAAATTAGAATGCATATTATTCATTTCAAGTTTACTGAATAAAACAGAAAATGGATTAAGAGGTAGGGACTTGGTGAAAACATCTTCAACTTTGTTGAGAATAGTATATTGAAATAAGGTGGATGATTTCTCTTGTACTTTGTTTTTAACTAGGTGGCAATTCATTTCTATATGTTTTGTTTGTTCGAGTTGTTGGTATTGTATATGACAGACTTATTGTCACAGTTGTTCGAAGCGAGTAATGTAAAACTCAATAATAAATAAAGTAGTCACTATGCATTGTTGTTTATGGAATATCGAGTTGTTGGTATTGTATGTGACAGACCTATTGTTTGAAGCGAGTAATGCAAAACTCAGTGATAAATAAAATAGTCACTATGCATTGTGGTTAACGAGTTCTCAAACATAAAAAAATTATTAAAATAGTAAAATAAATTTGATTAATGGAGTGTAAAAGATAGTTAATACATTTATAATTTAGTGTTAGAATATGGTTAATAATATGCATTTTATTGGTTAATGTAGTGAAAGTAGTTAATGAATTATAAATAAAATAAATGGTTAATGACGTACATTTTTGTGGTTAATACAATTATGAAGTTAGTTAATAACACAATCTTATATTTGTGTTATAAAATAAACTTTAAAAATAAATATATTTTTAAAAAAATTCTTTTTTTAAAATTAATATTATTTTAATAGAAAACATTGTCCACCGTATAAATACAGTAAATAGTATATACGGTGTAAGTATTTAGTGTAGGAAATGGTGTCAACATAGCATGATTGTATATCTTTATATTGTGCAACCCGCTAGAAATTTGAGTTTAAAAATCTATTTGTACTTGTATTTGAAATGTACATCAATGTAGCTTTATTAATAGTGGCATTAACAAAACATCAATTGCATCGGACTTGTCAAATGTCTGTCTTATGTGTTTTTTGTAACGTTCCGATTTATTTAATGAGTTTTTGTAAATAAATTATGTGATTGCGTGTGTTGGTTTATGATTTGATGTGTTAGAGGAACCATTGGATGTAGGGTGGTAACTTTAGAAATGTAGGATTTAAGTTGTTTGGGGTGTTTGGGTAAAAATATAGAGATTTGGGAGGGGTAGAAGTGAAAATAATTACTATTAGTTGATTAGAATTATTTTATTTATTTAGATCATTGTTTCAACCCAAAATTTGCCCTTCTGATTTTGCTTTTATCTTGCTTAGGCTTTACGTATTCATTTGCATACACTTCATTAGCTCATTTGCATATCATGCATTTCTTGAGACTTCTACATCCAATAAGATTGATTTCTCTGGTTCTTCTTTGAGCAGTGGACTGTGGGATTAGGTTTTGAACTATGATTATCATGGATTTCTTCTTCATTAAGCTACAAGGGCTTTTTTTCTCATCCAAACTCAGTAATGTCAATGATTAGAATTTATTTCCCTACCCAAGATTGAAGATTAGTTTTTTTAACTATTGTGCTTCAACCGAGATTCTTCTTGAGGAATCAACAGACAATGAGATTAAGAATCAGGGTTTCCTTAGGCTTTGGGGCTTTTACTCCACTCAAGTGTAATTCATTTGGTTTCTACATCATTCATGTCGTGGAGCTAGGGTATGGATCCATGGTTATTATGAACGTCTTCTTTGACAAGCTACAAGGCTATCTTTCATCAAAGAAGCAAGATGTTAGGGTTGTCATTTATGTGCATGCTTTAGGGTTTCATTACTGCTTCAAAATGAGATAGATTTGAGCTATTGTTTCATTTCCTTTCATATCAAGCTACTTCTTCACTATGCAATGCAAGAGGATTAATATTCAAGAGTTTCTCATCCATGGAGGCAAGGCTTTATTGATCTCCCTTTGTCAAACAAGAAAGTATTAATTACTTGAATCATAGGGCATGAGGACACGCTCTTATGCAAGCGGAGAAGACAGTTCGATGTGGATTCACCTTGCAGGTTAGGGGTATAGATACTTGATGCAAAGCCATTTCATCTAAGCACATGGTTTACTTGTGACACGATTCTTATTTGGAACTTCGTTTCAATTTACTTGAGATTAAAGCTTAAAGTATCTTATGAAGCATTATGGTTTTGTGGATCCAACTTGATGAGAATATAAAAATTATTACATGAAGACACTTTAAGACATGATTAAGACATGATGAGTCAATTTGATATTACTTGGTCCATTCAAATGGCAAAAAGTAGAGAAGGAAAGAACTTACAACTTCAAAAGCAATATTGGAAGACACTTTGAGTATTTGAAGAATTTTGTCATTTTGAATTTTCAACGGTCACAAACAGGAATTTTCAACGGTCGCAAACAGGAGGTTACATGTTTATTCAATTTTTGAGGTCAACCAAAATCAAAATAAGAACTTCAAAGTTCTAATTTGAATAAGAAAGTTGCTTGGAACATTTGGATTATACCATTGACTTTACAACCATCCATTCAACACCATTCATGATTCTTTACAAATATTACACAAGGTACATGAAATCAAAAGCATCCAAACATAGTTCAAACAATTACCATTTAATTTCATTCATGCTCTAACAGAATTGCAAATCTAAAATTCACAAACCATGTAGGTTCTACATTTTGGAATATTATAGAAAAGACTTGCAATATATATTGTTCTATGTTTTTAATCCTAAACCTCTAAATTCCTAAGGCCTAACCTCCATGATGTCACATTGATCAAAGGTTCACAAAACATTGCCTTGTCTTGAACACCAAAGCTGCCCACCTTGCATCAACTTGCAATCTTGTCAAAAATTATCCAAACATTGCACAAAACCTTTCCAAGTTCCTGCATAAAATCAAACAGGCCCTGCAAAGTTCACAAAAAAACCAAAAAAAAAACTGCTAGCGTTGTCCTACACCTGCACCCTTGCCCAAAATGGACAAACATTATCCTGCAGCAAAAAAAGTATCAAATCGGCACATGTACAAACACAACCATTACAACAATTCATTCAATCTCACCCTTCATTCAAATTAATCAATAGCCAAAATTTCTTCACGTCACTTCACATGGATCGATCCAAAAACACTGAAATTTCCCTCATAATCTCACCAAATAATTCCAATCTCAAACTCTATATAACAGCCTCTTGACTCTTCTCAAGACACCAACAATACTCTTAAAAATGTTTTGCCAAAACACATATAAACTCACTGCATAACCAAACCCTAAGCCCTTTAATCCATTCACCAAACTCACCTTCAATACCCCTTTGCTCATACTCACTCTCCCTTCCATAAACTATCCATAACCTCTATCCACTCAACACTGACTGCAAAAATTTCATCCTTAAATTGCAAAACCGTATCTTCGTCACCACTGTAATCCTTTCAAAACCTTCAATCACCACAACAGTCCTTCTCCACACACACAAACACTTAACCTCACCATGTAAATTTCAATCTCCCTCAACCTCACATCTTCATTTCTGCAACCTTCACCACTGAAACATTCACAGATTTTTTCAGCAATCACTTTACTCAACCCTCACGTATCAATCTGCAACCCACTCAACAAAATTCAACACCGCAACAAAACGCACAACACAACAAGGACTCAAACACGGAGAATTCGGACAATAATAAATAAGACGAAGTCCCAATTTTGTAACCCTAATCTAATCACACCACTAAACTACACCGCTTCCTTTTGTTTCTTATTTAATCTTCTTCTTTTTTTAATTGAATAAATATAATGAAAAATATGGTAATGGATGTTGTGATAATGGTGTACCAAAACAAAATTCACTTGGGCTTTTTTTGACATCATTTGCTGCAAGCCCATACATGTTTTTATCACCATTTGCTTCAGCATAAAAACGGCTCTCCTGAGCTTTATTGATGGGCTTAGCACTCAGGTTTTGACTCTCTGAACCATAGCCCATGTTTCCAACTTGCACCCCCAAGGGCTCTTCTTCTAATTTTCTTTTTATTTGTTGGATTGTTATTGTTTGTTTTGTTTTAATATTTTCTTAACATTTAAAAAATAACAAAAGTACGTGGTTTTGTTTTAATTTATGCGGAAAATTAAGGCATTTTGCAACAAAATGGCTCTTTATGCGAAAAATTACAAGATGCTCATGCACTTCTTTCAGGATAGCTTCAGTGGAGCATCTCTTGAATGGTATACACAGCTCAAAAGGACCCACATTTGAACCTGGAGAGAACAAGCAGAGGCATTTCTCAAGCGTTACAAGTATAACAATGTGTTAACTAGGAATTTCGAGTATATGAATGTTTAGATGAAATGATACATTCCTGGAAGAAATTTAGTTCGGAAGGAAGCATGAAGGAGATCTTATGAAGATTTCGATAAATAAAGGCTAGTAAGAATTTCACTTCACTAAATTATTGGCGAAAGGTTCGTTTTGGAACCGTTGGAACTTAATTTATTTGAAGTATTGTCAGAATAGACACTTCGACTGTCACATCTATACTGTTTGGCGCTTCGAAGACAAAAGGGTTTTCAAATTTGAAAGTTTAACCTTATCCAAAGAGACATGTAGAGGCCTAAAGAGATTCAAAGAATATACAACAATGAACATGGCGTTGTTTCAGTAGTTGACCGTTAGGGTCGAATTAGTATAAAATATAACCTTAGTGTTAGTTTTCTAGGGTGTTCATATCTTTGTACAAATTACTCTAAATTTCTCAAAGTACCAGTTTTTGAGAAACAAGTTGTGAGAATGTACGTATGAAGCACTAGTTTCATGTTTATTTCCATTCATTTTTAATTGAAGTT